TTTTGACTTTTGAAGGGGAGGGAGGGAGGGAGAGTTGCGAGGCGGCAAGAAGAAGAAGAAGAGGGAGGGAAAAGCAAAAGAAAAGAAAAAAAAATTCATGTTCCACCCAAAACACACGGATGCCGTGCAGGGAGAAAAATAACTGTTCACAGCGTGTCAAAGCGGCCCCGTGTCGCCGGGCAAAGCCGCGGCGATTGGCGGGACGCAAGCCCCACGAAAGAGCGCCGTCGAGGAAAAATAAGGGGGGAGACGAAAGAGCAAAGACAAAAAACAAAAACAAAAAAAGGGCAGAAGGGCTCAGTGGGTGCGTGGGCGCATCTCCCGCCAACGGAGATTCACACACGCAAATATTGTGCACATGCGGGCGTGTACATTAACGCGCGGCCGCGGCGGCGGCGCCATTCACATGGAGGGGGGAGAAATGAAGGAAGAAAAAGAAAAGGAAGAAAAAAGGGCAGAAAGCGGGGAATCTGCAGCAGCCGCGGCAACAACAACAACAACAACAAGAAAGAAAACAAAAAAACGCATGCCACCGCGCCATAAGCGCAGAAGCCCCGCAACTCGGCCAAAAAAAAAACGAAAGAAAAAAACCAACGATAACAAAAACACAACTCGCGCAATGTGTTCCGAAGGGAGAAGAAAAATATGCACATAACAAAAAAAAAGATGGGGGCGCACGCGTTTTCCACATTGAGGTTTGTTGCATTTTGTCTAACCCTGCGTAAAGAGAGGGGGCACCCTCATCACCAGACCTCTCGCTCGCTCGCTCCAACCGCCGCAGCAGCCACCGCTCTACTCCCGGCCTGCTGGGGCCGGGGAGAAGGTACGCGTCGCCGGCACACGCACGCGCGGTCACCCCGCATGTACGCCTGGAGTAAACTCCACAGCCACGCCCACTGCACAAGTTGACCGGCATAAACAAACAAATGCGACCGTCGTTTTTATCGGCGGAATGGCCTCCCCCCGCGGGGAAGCTGCGAAGCGGCAGCCTCTTCTATTGGGCACTGCACCCGCCTCCGCGTGGAGGACCACACCAGCAGTGTGTTGTGCTTAGGCAAAGGCAGAAAACAAAAACATACACGAGAGCACAAACACAAACACCCAAACACTTTCTTGGCCACTCCCCCAGCACGATAGCATTAAAGAGGGAGTAAAGCACAAACACCGAACTACTCCGTAAATAAAAAAAAAGAAGTAGAGGGGGCGGGGGGAAGGGGTTGAAACAAAAGACGTCGCTCCGTCCTCTACTGAGCCCCGTCTAAAATATTTGCGCACATCCCTTCTGCAGGTATTTTTTTTTTTTACTTTCCTTTTTCGCTCAACGGTTACTCTGCCCCTCTCCGTAAGAGGGCAGTTATGCCCCTTGCCGCCAAAAAGTAAGAAGTCAATGGAACGAACAGAGAAGGGGAGAAAAAGAAAAAAAAACACCGCGAGGAGTGGAGGCTGCTCGCGGTGTCGCTCTCTGCCTTCGTGCAGGAAGCAAGGGCGGGGAGAGAAGGGACGCTGCCGCGGAGCGAGGTCCGCAGCCAGAAAGGAACGCAGGAAGAGAGGAAGAATGAAATGCCGCCCACATGACGACGCCGAGGCGAGGAGTCCAAGTTACCAAGTAAACTAACAGAAGGGGGGAGGGGAATAGATGCGTGAAAGAAATGCGGGGAGGGGGAGGGGGGCGTTTGGTAAACAAATTCAAAAGAAAATAACCACTACCACACAATACAAAGGAAAGGAAAGTAAGGGTGGGGGAAAAAAAAAATGTTAAAACAGCCACACACAGTAGAGAGCCCCAGGGGCAGAGATATAACCCACCAGCACGCGTGTGTGCGCGTCTGTGTGTACCCCGCCAGGACTGCCATGAGGAGTCGTTGGTCGCAGCACACCCCCAACGACGGAGGTAGCAGGAGCTGGTAAACAAGCACGCTGATACGTATTACTGCATAGCCAAGCAGAGAAATCAAGGATGGACAAAGTCACATTTGTATGAAAAACAGAGGGGCAAAAAAAAATAACGCAATATAATAACATAATAACGAATCTGCGTAATTTATTAACTGCAAGTGTCTTTCCTTCTGCTTAACTCTCGCCCCATCCCTGTTATTTGCTTATTATTTCTTTTTCTTTTTCTTTTTTTTTATTTGGTATTGCTGCTTTTATTTTATATCTTCTTTCTTTTGCTTTTTTTTCTTCGTTAGGGACTGGGGCTTCTTTCCTTTTCTTTTTTCACAAATTCTTCCCGTCACTTCGGTTCCTCGGACTTCCACTTGCGATAACACAACCACACACACATCAAACTACGCACACACACACACACACGTATATGCTTGCGTGCATGCGCATGTACGTATCTCACTGTTTGTAGGCATCCACACGCAGGCGTGTGTGGCCCCCTTGCGGGCTTCCTCGGGCCCACCTGCGCTCCTTCACGGCGCCGTCCAAGCTGCTCCTGTGGGCGCCGCTCCCGTCCCTTCCCAGCTCCGCTCCGGCAGAAAGTTCTCTTCCGCCCCATCTACGTCCTCGCCTCCTCCGCGCGCTGCTAAAGGAGTGGGCTGAGGATGCGGCGCAGCATCTGATGCTCAAACCCGCAGGGGCCTACTGACCGCAGCCGAGGCCCCCCAATCTCAAGACGGCGCAGCAGCTCCGTCACATCGGTCTCAAAGGCGTCCGCTGATAAGTCGCCGAGCCACACCAAGTTACTCTGCGCATTCGTCAACCAGTAGTCCGGCACAAATGGCGAGAGGGTAAATAGAAACGGCACGAACACCACCTCCAGCACCGTCAGCTGCAGTATCTTCGCGTGATGGAGCGGAGAAAAGCCCGACGGCCCACTAAGATGGCCTGCTGAAGGTGTTATGGAGGAATCACTGGGGGTGAGGCCGTTCGGCATGTCCGAGAAATTCACCGACGCCCACTTCGGCTGGCATTCGCCCGAATACTTCTGCGTTTCCTCCATAGAAAGCAGGCTGCCATCCATCTTAATGCTCCGTGGCGGGGTCAAGCGCTCCCCGCAAACGGCGGCGTTGGCCTCACACCAGGGCCATCGCGTCAGCCCATTCTCCTCAAACCAAAGGCGGGTTTGCTCCTGTTGGTAAATCTCCGCCACAGCATGGGCGGCGGCGGTTCGGTACACGGCTGGGGAACGAAAGACATAACAGAAGTCGGCGGCATGCAGAACGTTCTGCAGAATAATCATCAAGTGACTCTCACGCACGACATTCCCCGCCCCCTCCTGCAGGACTTTCTGTAACTGAGCGAGCAGCACTTGGTGCTCCCGTTCGTCCGTAGGCATAATGAGTCGCGATGTCATCTCCTCAAAGTCCACCTCCTTTGCAGGCGTCCACACCGACGTCGTAGAATCGCCCGCGGCCTCCTGCGCAGTGACGAAGGTTGGGAAGTGGCACTCCGGGGAGTCGAATAGGACAAACCCCAATGCAACGCTGACGCTCTGCTGCGGAGAGAGAAAGCCATACAAGGCAGCATACGGGTGGTGAACGTTCACCAAAAAGGCGTTGCTCATCCCCAGATGGCCTAGCTTCATCACGGTTGAGGCAAAGAGAAAGCTAAACAGCTCCTCGTCAGTAAAGTTCTCCGCCACGTACGGCTGCCGCAAAAACTGATGGGCCGCTAAAACAATATCTGTGGCATGGCGTATATTATGAAACGGATTCTCCGCAAAGATGCACTTGGCGGCGTTGACGTAGAAGCAGTGAAGCCGCCCCACATGGAAGCCGAACTGCAGCGAAAAATTGTACCGAAGAAGAACATTAAGACACGTGTACACATAGGCGTTGCGACCGTAACGCTCCTCATATTTCAAGACGTTCACGTTAGCAGACTCCACATCCTCTAGGAAGGGAACGCCAAGGCCGCGGAGTGCCTCCTGAATCTGCGCAGTAGGGCGTAGCACGGGGGAATGCCGCGAAGTGGAGCGAGAGAAAATTGGGCCCTGATTTGGTAATCGCCCATCAAGCGAAAACGCCGGCATGCCGTCACCAAGCTCACCCGGACTGCTCAAGTCAAGGATGGAGATGCCAGTCGGAAGCGGTGGGGCTCCCGTGCGAGGGCTCAGACCCAATAGGTCATGGACGCTTTCTGGCGGCAGTGAGCAGGACTGGTTGACGCTGCCGCCAGACTCCAGCGGATTCGTCTCGCCGTCACGGCCTTGTTTGCCGCGGCCCAGCGGCTTGGCAACACCGCGCTTGAACACGCTGGGCGCCCACAACGACGAGAGTTGCAGAATCGAGGCGACATCCTTTTCCGTCACGGTGTCCTCGCAATGCACGACGTTTTTGAGTGAGTGCGTCAGCAGGCTCTTTTCACGCGGCTGTGAGGTGCCCGCGGTGGACTCCGAGGCGACTGTTATTCGTGAGGAATTTTTGCGCGGTCTCGCGCTGTTATTTGGGCTGGTCACGCGGAAGAACTCCGTCATCGAGGGGTACCTGGTGAACGCGTTGCCCTGCTCCCCCCAGCCCCAGTACATCCCACTTTCGACACCCTCGTCGCCGCACTCGGAGAGCGACTCCAGCGAAGTCGGGGTGACAGCCACCGCATTACCCGCATCCCCACGCTGGCGCGGCCTCATCTCCAACAGGGGGGCCTCCAGCGCCTGAGCCTGCTCATCCACCCACGCACGGAACTCATCCAGCGTGGCGGACTCCGACAACCGCTTCCGCAGCTGGGTGATGAAGCGGGCCAAGAGGCGCTCCCTTGGCGTAATATCAAGCCGCTTCACGGGGATGTGCGACGGATGCGACTTCATTGCCCTTCCAAAAAGGCAAAAAAAAAAAATGCGCCGGCCGCCCGCTACTGATTCCCTCCTCTAGCTACTTTGTTTTGTTGTTTTGGCTCCCTCCCTTGTGTTTCTTTCCGCGCAGTTGTCGTGCTGCTGTACGTGCACGAAGAGTCCGGTGTTGGAAGTAAAGCGATACCGGCCTCTCCCTGTTGTGGGGCCCACCGAGCTCCGTCCCCCGCCGCCGCCGCTGCTGCTGCTGCTGGGTGGCAGCTGCCTCTTTGCACGGTCACAGAGCTGTGGTGACAATATCAGCCAGTGGTGGCGCCAGCTGCAGCGTCTTTCCTTCCCCAGCTGTGACCACCGCACACCTTTTATTTTTAATTTTATTTTTTTTGCCCTCGGCGTCTGTTCCGCCCCGCCAGCAATGGACAGCCACACCCGCTTCCTCCGGCTCTAGTGGTACTTACCTCCGCGTGTAGGCTTTGCTGACGGAAGGAGAGAGCGAGAGAGAAGTAGGAGAAAAAAGAAAAAAAGCATCACGCATGCAACAGCAAGCGGGGTTGGGGGAGAGCAGGAGAGAAGGAAATGGAAAAAGTCGGCATAAACGTAGAGTCGCTGCGCCCCCACCCCACTCCACGCGCACACGCACGTGTAGCGAGCGAGAAGTAAAGAGGGATTGCGTGGGCGGGACGACGTGTCAGGCGCCGCTCCTCCGGTCCAGCCTGGATTCGAGCGTGTAGCGGCGCCACGTCTCCTTCACGGCGGTGAGCCTCTCGGTGGCATCGCCGTAGCGACGGCGCGCCGCGCGATTCCCCAATACAATCAGTCGCGTGGGTGTACCGATGCAGAACAATGGCGCCCGCAGGAGGTGCTGGTGGCCGTCGACGTACGCGGCCTCGGCGGCGGCGCAGAGGGTGTGGGCCAGGCAAAACGAACTCTCCCGCAGCGCCCGCTCCGTGCTCACCCTTTCACTGCCACCGTCGGGGCGCTTCCGCTTCCCCCTGCCCCCATCACCACTAATACTACTGCCGCCGCCACCACCGGCACAACACCCCCCAGCACCGGGGTTAGTGTCGTCAGTAGTGCCGAGTTTATTATTCGTCGCCTGGCGCTGTTGCCGCTGCGACGGCGAGGTTGGGGCGGCGTGCGGCGCCGCCTCCGCCTCCGCCTCGTCCAAGTCGTGTGACGGCAACACTACGGCGAACAGCAGCGGGGCGTCAGCCGCACCGTCGTGACGCGCGAGCGCGTCGCGCAGCAGGAACGTCTCTAGACGCTGCAGCACGGCGGTGACGAAGGGCGGGTTCACCTCGTAGTGACCGGAAACGAGCGCAAGGTCGAAAAAGGAGCCAAGGCTGCCAAAGCAGGCATCTGTGTCCGGAAAGAGAGAGCCGAAGAGCGGGAGTTGGGCATTGAGAGGGCTAGCGAAGGCCTCACAGTGCACCTCAAAGGCGTCGTGCAGCTCTCGCATGACCGACGGCGGGATAGCGGCGTGTGGGCCTTGGTTGTAGCCCATGTCACCAAGCAGCGAGCGGTAACGCAGCAGCGTGGTGAAGGCAGAGAGGAAAAAAGGCTCCGATGTCGTGAAAGTGTGCACTACATCAGCCGTGGTTGCCTGCCGCGCCACGGCGCACCGCCACAGCTCCCGTGCCGACGCCGCACCGCCCCCATTGACGCCGCCACAGTCCCACTCTCTCTGCAGACGTGTGTCCCACAACATCGACAGCCGCTCGAGAGCCCGCTGCAGCACCTCTACCGTCCGCCCCGCGAAGCGCAGCGTCACACAGTCGTGCATCATTCGCACCTCCAAAGGTCGCAACGACGTCACGGCCGGCGCAGCAACGCAGGAGCGTCGCGCCAGACGCCGCGCACTCAGCCTTTTTCGAAGCTCGCACGCGCGTTGGCCCATGCGCACCGACACTTTCCTTGGAAACCCCTGCATGCTGCCCACTTCCGCCTGCATCGCATCGCGTGGGAGGCGCGCCCGCCGCAACGCGAGCGTGGCCGCAAGGAAGAGACACGATGACGTGCCGCGGGGGCCGTTCAGCTCGTCGGCGGGGAGCAGTGGGTCAAAGTACACCGGCTTCGGCGGCTGCAGGACGACGTCGTCGCGGTCCACGCGGCTGCGCTCGCCCGTCGCCGCCGCAATGTCCACCCAGTACTCCCCCCCTGCCATGTCGGCCACGTCCGCCACGGTGTACGGCGTGGCGTCGCCGCGGCGGAGGCGAACAGGCGCGCCACGGTCCAAAAGCGTCACGGTGTCGCGGCTCGCCCGCACCTCTGTCGTTTCGTTCAGGCTATGCATCAGCCAGCGCGCGGGGAGCTCGCGGGCCACCTGCGGCGTCAGCAGCGACCAGCCGAGGCCATCGGCGTCGTCGGCGCCCGCGGAGGCCTCACGCCGGTGGAAGGCCTCCCCCAACGCGTGCGCGAGCTCGACGAGCGCGTCGTGGCGGTCCACCTCGTCCTCGGCACGTGCGTGGGCAGCACGCACCTCCGCCCCTGCAGCCGGCAGCGTGTCGACGCCGCCGCCGCAACGCGGGGCGTCACCCGCACTCGCCACGTCACGATCGGCAAGGGCGCAACTGTCCGCGGTGCCGGCGGTTTCCTCGGGCGGCCAGCCACGCCACGCCGCGAGGCCGCGCAAGAGAAACGCAGTACGGGAGCGAATACGAACGTTGTACTGGATCGAGCCAAACACCGCCACGTGGGGCGCCGCAGGCCCCGCAGCTTGCGGCGTCACACAGATACGCGCGAGATCGCCAAGTGGCCCAGCAGCCGTGAAACTGTCATCCACCCCCTCCCGCCGCGTCCGCACTCGCATTGCCTCTTGCAATAATGCTGCTGTCCCGCTGTTTCCTTATATCTCTCCCTCTCTTCTCTTTCTCGCTCTGTCTGTGTGTGTGTGTGTGTGTCTGCGTGCAACCCGACCATGCAGAAGCACCGCAGCGAAGGCGCGGGAAAACAGGGGCTGACGGTGCAGTGAGAGGGAGAAAATTTCCGTACAAGGCGGCACAGACGCAGGGCGACGAACCTGCAGCAGGCCCATGCGGAGACGCCGGGAGCAGCAAAGGGAGCAACAACTAAGAGTACAATACAAACACGCATGCAGGCGATAGACACATACGAAGGAGCCACAAGCCGTTACGAAAGTCGCAGGGTTGAAAAAAGAGGAGCAGACACACACACACACGCACTGGCGCAAGTGCAGTCACACGGAAGGCAACGATGAATGGTGTGGCGGTAAGAATCTGTCACCCGGTAAGAAATAAAATAATAATAATAAAACGGGAGAGGATAGAGAGAGAGGGAAAGAGAGAGAGAGGAATAAAAAAGACGTGGTGCTTGTCTACCAAACACCTCCACCGGCCGGACCTTGCCACCTCACGCCCTGTCACCCCTGGCAGGGAGCCGACACTCAACCACACGGGCCAACCGGCACAGACAGACAAATATGCGTACATCACACAGCAAGACAAAACGAGTATGAACAGAGCAAAGAAAAGCCGTTAAGAAAAGCAATGCAATACTCACAGGCGCATGCACATATTTGTTCCGTAGGGAAAGGCCTTACGAAAGATAGAACAAGAAAAAAGCATAGAAATGCCAACAGTAATAGAGATATAGGGGGAGTGTGTGTGTGTGTGTGTGCGTGTGTTTGCTTTCACATTTTATTTGTTGTTGTTGTTGTTGTTCTTCACGCATCCCTCGCGGAAAGCTGGGATGGAGGAGGGATGCATGCACTGTGCATCGGAGAGAGGGGTGACGGACCGGCGGCGACTCGCGAGAGCACGCACGCAGGCACGGAGATGTATGCGTCGTCTGCAGCTTAAGCCTCATGCAGGCACTTGCACATAAACGGCCGCATCGTCTGCTCCACCATCCCCCCATTTCCCCCACAACAGACGACCCGCCCCACACCGGCACTTGCAACTTCATCTTCGCTTTTTTTTGTTTTTTTGCTTCTTGTCGGTTTATCAACATGACAACAACGCGGCCCATGCACGCGCGTTCACCTATTTTTTTTTGTTTCGTTGCCCCCCCCCCCGCCTTTTTTTTGTATTCTTCGTTTTTTTCTTTTCTTTTTCCTCCCTCGCCCCCTCCCGCACGTACGCGCCCCTCCAGGAGGAGCGTCGCCCGCCACACACATTTGCCCCGCAGCCGCACTGAGGGACGGTGAGGAAGAGGGGGAGGCCTGCGTTGGCCGGGGCACCCGCGTCTCGCTACATGGGGGAGGGGGGCGAACCACCGACGTCAGGCGGTAGGCACAAACAGAAAAAGCAAATCATAAGGAAACAAGAGAGTGAAAACAGAAGATGAAAAAAGGGGGAAAAACAATGAAGAACTACAATAGCTACTGGGAAAGTACCACACGGGACTCAGGACCCCCACCACCAAAGCCAGAGATGCCGTTGGAGGCATTTCCAAGGCCTTCAGCCCGCCTTCCGCCCCAGCGGGCGTCGCGCGGTGGCCCTCTCTCATTGCTCCTCGCAGGTGTGTGAGGGGCGAGTGGGGAGGGGGGCCCATTTTTTTGCGTTTCTGCGTTTGCTTCGTGGACGCGCGGCGCGGGGTGTTCCTTGCGTGACTCCTCGGCAGCGGCCCTTGAGCCGTGGTCATGCGTGGCTGCCCGCGGATTCCCCGCGGCTGCCGCCTTCGGCTCCGACAGGAGCTCTTGCCTCTCCAGCAGCTGGGCTCGCTTGGCGTTGTACTTCTTCGCAAAGTTGGCCAGGCACCGCAGCGTGTCATTCATCTGAAACGACGCGGGGTTTTCGCAGAAGTACACCGGCATCAACTCAATCTTTGCCGTCAACTCACCCATCAGCTGCTCGACCCGCTCCAGCGCTGGAAAGGCGGTGTAGATGAACTTCCCCAGTTTCGTCGTCCACGGCTTGTCGTCCGGAATCGCACGAACGAGCGACGCACACTTTTGCAGGCGAGCACGCAGCGACTTCAACTCTCCAGCGACGCCTGGGACGTCAAAGTTGGAGGCATGTTCCACCGCCGGCAGCAGCTCCTCCGTGCAGCGGTGCACGGCGGGGTCCTGCTGGTCGATGATCTCAATCAGGTGATCCAGCAGGACGCCCTTGCTGTTTGTTGTTGGGAAGTCGATGATCTGCGGCAGTTGCGTGATGCGAAACCCCTTCGCTCCCTGAAACCGACTGCCCGTGTTTAACACGTTGCTGACGGCAAGAACAAATTGCAACATGCGGGGCAGGTGCGGCGAGTCCATCGCGGCGGAAACTCCCTCCATCGCGCGGCGAATCTTCACCTCGAGGTCGTCAATGCGGCCTTTGAATTCGTTCTTTAAATTCCAACACTGCAGTCGCTCGGCGTAAAACTCAATCTTCGTCACCATCATGAAAAATCGTACGGGGATACTCAGCTGATGCAGCCGCGCGGTGGTCGCCTTTGGATTGCGTTTCATCCATGCGTTAATGGCCTGAATATCCTCGGCGTTGGGAATAATTTTGGCGAGACCAGAGACGTGCTCCTCGCCTAGAGTCAGTTCGTCAAACATGCGCACGCTCGCCTCAACCGTCTGTATGGGAAGCCGCAGGAATTGAAGTACAATGCCCACGTTCCGCTCACGATTGGGGTCTAAAATAACCTCCTTCACCACCTCCTGTTTCTTTTCCACTGGTTTTGGCTCTGTCCGTTTGAAATCTTTAATCAGCTCTTTACGGTACTCCTCGGGAAGCACAACCATGTTATCCGATTTAAATGCAGAGTTATTCGGGACAGTTCTTAAGGCCTCAATAGGAATAGTACGTGTAATACTAGTCTGTGCAGGCTTTGATTTGGCCATTGGCGGTGGTGGCGGCGGTGGCGGTGGTGGCGGTGGTGGCGGTGGTGGCGGTGGCGGCGGTGGC